TTAATTGTTTTATTATGTATTTGATAAAAATTACATTACTTTGTAATTGCTTATTTAATAAGAATCTAAATTCATTTGGAAACTTTATACTTAAACCAAGATTTTTCATTAAATCTAGTATCTGCCGACAAACCTCTCTAAATGGAAAGCGGTTATTTTGTTTTTATAAAAAGAATTGAAAGAATGACGTGGTATATATTGATTAATAATTAAAAAAAAAAAATCGGTGTATATATTGGTTTCTGGCATTTGGATAGTTTGAACTTTGAAGATACCACTGGCGACGATATCTTGATTCTTATGGAAATAAATAATAAATCGAATTTGCAATAGCTCTCGTTTAATTAGAGAAAAAAAAAATTCCTTCTAGCCATCTTCATTTTTCAAAAAAAAAAATCATCCTGTCTTTATTATCACATATTTAATTAAAATCGACCATTCATAATAAAATGTTTATAAAAACTCACGAACGTAGATACCCACTATGCCAAATGGAATGAGAATGCATACCAATTTAGATAATGTTATAGGTAGGTTCAGGTATTGGCATGTGTTCTGTAAAAAATAATAATAATAATAATTAATAAAAAATATTGGCACGGGAAAACTACTTATCCAAAAATACGTGTATAGGCCTCATACAAGTCGAAGACTCAAAGAGACAGTTCGATTCCAACGTAATAAGAAAAGTGGATGACACTAAAAATTAAAGTTCACTGACTTTGACATGGAAAAAGGTGGATGCACAAAACATGTGTGGAAATTGAATCTCCAATTTCTATACAATTAGCAAAATGTTTGGATATATTGGAAATTTAAAATTCTGTTTAGACTTCAACATTAATTAGTGAAATATGTTATCAATCGTGATAAGGTATTTATGCATCTTAGACACAATAATTAAATTATATAGATATGAGATTGCAATAAAATGTTAGTACTGGTTGATGTGTCTTCTTTTCCTTTTTATATATATATATATATATATAAAAGGAAAATTACGTTTATTTCCTATGAACTCTCTAAAATTAATATTTATGACACAAAAATATTGATTTTATCTTTTTCATCAAATTAATAACTAACAATAAACCTTTTCAGCAAAGTAACCACAAAAATACTAAATCAGTGGGATTTTGTCAACGGCATCATTACTAATAAATCATCTAAATTCAATTTTTAAGAAAATATTGTTGGTTTAAGAATTTGAGCTACAAATTAAAATAATAATTAAACAAACTTTAAAAAATAAAAGTAAAAAATAGTGACAGCGGCAAATATAGCCATTTGGCCAATGATAATAACAAATTTAAATCATACGTGTCTATCAATATTATAGTGATATTTATTGATAAATGTATGATAAATTTTATCAATAATAAAAATGATAGCGTATGATAGATCTTATTAATTATAGACATTGATAAATATGTATATGTGACTGCATGGATAAATTTTTAATAGGTACCTACCCTATAAAATACCATGTTTGTAAAATTTTTATTAGGTCCACGATTACAATTCTCTAAATTAAAATATTATTTATCACATATTTTATATGGGTTATACATATAGATGTTGGTAGGCTATACTCTATAAATCTAATAGCTACCTCTTGCGACAGTAACATATATAGATACATATGTATGAAATGTAAATAATAGAGCACAATAATTTAATAAAGTTCAAATATCGAACATTATCGTAATATGGTTGGAGTTCCATGATGCAACCCATGCCACGTGGAC